TTGATCTCTGGTGTAACAATGTTGGAAGATGGTGGTAGTGGACTTCTGGCTGTTTCGGGTATTTGGATAAGTCAGGGTTGTCTTCTTCTGTTGTATCGTGGTCGGAGAGAGACTACACGTTGATCTCTGGTGTAACAATGTTGGAAGACGGTGGTAGTGGACTTCTGGCTGTTTCGGGTATTTGGATAAGTCAGGGTTGTTTTCTTCTGTTGTATCGTGGTCGGAGAGAGACTACACGTTGATCTCTGGTGTAACAATGTTGGAAGACGGAGGTAGTGGACTTCTGGCTGTTTCGGGTATTTGGATAAGTCAGGGTTGTCTTCTTCTGTTGTATCGTGGTCGAAGAGAGACTACACGTTGATCTCTAGTGTAACAATGTTGGAAGACGGTGGTAGTGGACTTCTGGCTGTTTCGAGTACTTGGATAAGTCTGGGTTGTCTTCTTACTTTGTTTTGGCTGGGACTGTGTCTTGTGGTATTTCGTCTTGAGTGTTTCCGTCATTGTTTCTATATGTGAGACTTCAGTAGGTTCTGTCTGGGTAGCTTTGTCAGATGTTAAGGTTTTTCTGCTGGGGCTTGTTTGGGTCAACTTGTTTATAAAAAACGGCATGGTCTGTGTGGTACTTTAGTGGTTGACGTAGGGTGTTGATGATTCGTAGTTAGCACTGGACTCGTTGATTGTTGTTTCTTCTGTGAGGTTTCTCGGCTATAAAGTGGAAATAAACATTCATTGATAAGAATATAATTGGCAGTTTGTTCAGATGAAGTGACAGTTTTAATGAAGTGGGTTTATTTGCTGGTTGTTCTGGAGCGAATCTGGTGGACTGCATGTAGTATAGTGTTAGTGGCTGCTTCTATGGACTGCCGGATTTCTTGCGGGGTGGTTGACGTGTCGACACCCCTGAAAAAACGGAAAAGAGATAAGAATTAATTTTAGGGGTAGTACATGTAACACGTGGGAAGGCGTTCCATGGGCTACACAGGTAGGTAAGATAATCTTGGCTTGCGAGTTGGAGGAAAATTTCACCCCGTGATCCGTGTCTTGGTTGGGCTGATGGAAGTTCTTGGTATAAAAGTCATGAAAAAATTGATGATTTGGTGTGGGGAGAAATCAGACGGTAATCCATGAAGGATTACCGGTGAAATTGGCGAGGTTATCGGCGTAGAAATTACAGGCTTAGGAGACATCGTGACCGAGTTCTTATGGACCATGTTAGATCTTAAGAAAGACACTCCTATGGAAAGCCTTTGAATGAATGGAAGCTTGCCAATTGCTATAGACTATTCCTAGTTGACTCCAAATGTGTTAAAGTGTCGTGAGCTAATGCTCACAAACGTAATTGTACAGTTGGTTGACGCTTGGATACATGATGAACATACACACACAAAAGGACCACTGTTATTTGTTGATTATAGCTTGCCACAATTGGAGGATCTTGCTCCGAGATTGAATCAATTGTTCGCGTTTGCAACTTGATGCTATGTTAGTGTATAAACAGACTTCACAAGGCCAACTTGTATGCCAGATGCACAGTCAGGCATATCACTGAAACCTGTAAAAAGCGTTGTTTGCTCAAAATTAGCCAAAAAGTAACTTTAAAAATATATAAATTTGAAAGTAAACCCATATTTTCAACCAGTAACAAAATATGTGATATTACTATAATTATCCAATGTGTATATGTAGAAATATAAAACAAAATCAGCATTTCTGGTGCGGGGAAATTATTTTAGACTTCATTACCAGAACTTTTTGGTAAAACCTGTCACATGTAGTAGCAGTAACATATTTCATGAAAATTTTACAGACGATTTGACTTACAATAACAGCAATTGTCAATTCCAGTTCAAACTTTTTTAGGGTATTTTAAAATATTTGTAAATGGATTGTATGTTTTCGTACACTTTCTAATATTATTAATATTCCAGTTAGGAAAACATACATATTCAAATACCGATTCTTAATATGGTTAAAAAATTGGCCATCTATTGTATCTGCTCAGTGTGGGCCTGTAGGAAACATCCCCAACCTTGGTAACCAGTTTGAACGCAAATAACTAAGGCAACAGTCTGATCAACAAACATTTTATTTTTCCACGTGTGGTTAGATCTTACCTTTATTGTTCGAGTTAAAAACAAACATTTTATTTTTCCACGTGTGGTTAGATCTTACCTTTATTGTTCGAGTTAAAAAAATATTTTCTGCAGAATACATTTCCGAAATCTGCATTATTGTAGATACTTCAAACTTGTACATAAGATATCAATGAATATGAATATCACGACTCATCTGTAAAAAGGTCAATTCTCAACGTGGTGTTGTGCCCTGAATCAGTTTTGGGTACTATTGCATATGTGGTATTTAGTCTTGCTGAGAGCATTGCATACTTCATTGGCAGGCCTAAGTAGACCACTGCAAAAATACTTTTTAAGGTTCCTTTTTCTAACAATATACAATAAATCGTTGTTGTTACAAATCCAAATACAGTTACACATATAAATCGGGAATTTACAATTACTGTGATTATAGGTTTGTAGATGCACTACTGGGAAAAACGTAATTTAAGAAAGTATTGATAATGTAATAAAACTTCTTTTTCTTCTGTGAATGTAGTATTATGACTTTCTAACAGGTTATTCTAAGAGAGGAATGGTGGGCGGGCATACACGTTAGTTCTGGATGTGGAAAATCCAACCATTGAGTTATCATTACTTTGAAAGGTACATAGAAGCGTATTACCTTAAACTTTCAGTAGAATTTGATAATTTTCCTTTGAAATACTCTTGGAAAATTTATCTATAAAAATAACCAGAATGTGAACTTTAATTTACTAGCAACAGGAACATCAGTGATGGAAACAACGTTGTACGCTTCCCTTGATTAATCCAAGCTGAAATTATATGCATAAGATGAACTGAATATCCTCAAGTTAGTTAATTGCCTTCGACTTTCCAATTCTATATTTTGAGAGAAATGTTGTGTGTGTTCAATTCGCTGGACATGCGATTTTTTTTATTTTTTGCTAGAGAGATAAAAAGAGTGTGTGTAGTTATTAAAGGAAAGAAGCAACTTTCAAGAAATGACGATAATGTTTAAGTAAACTGGAAATAATTCAATGAACAATATAAATTTGTGTTCACTGCACGACCAGAGAGAATCTAAATGTAGTGGGCACACATTTTGGCTACATCCCTTTCGTATCTTTAAAAAAATGTGTTTTAATTTATATATTTTAGAAAATATTGCGTGTACTTGTCTAGCCTATTTGTAAACAGGATGTATCTAGTTTTAAAATATGCTTAAGTTTCTCTTTAGTACGCTAGATGAGCCATTTTCTCGTGTTTACGACGTTAAGCAATTGGATGATGCAAAGATATAGCTATAAGATTTTTATTTTGATTTCTTGAGTTGGAAATTGAATTTAATTCTAAGAAAACCTAGTTGTTAGTCATAATTTTCATTGGCTTCATCTCAACCATCTAGTAAAGTTGACAGTTGTCAAAGTAATCTGTTTTCAGTTGCCTTGAAACATACAGAGAAGCCAGCCACGTTTAGAAGACTACAGCGATCACACGATTTTTCTATTAATGAAGTGTATATTTTGTTTCGAAGTAAAATCTTTTTATCTAATTCTTATCACTTTTTTTTTCGACTTTTAGTCACTGGGTTTCTGCTTACACTTCACAACTCTTCATGCTAGTGTTGTACTTAATTTATCTGTTTGTTAGCCTGGTGTACCTTGGAATACCAGATAAAAAAACAATATGATTGGAAACCTCAGACTTTGTAGTTAGTTCTATCGTTACACCCTGTTCACAAAGGCACTAACTAACTGCAGAACACTCGCATGAAAGATTTTGAAACTATCTGAATAGAGATAAGCTTTATTCTAATTATAAAAGGGTAGAATTAACAGTTTCAACTGTCACGCTCCACTTGCTTATTTCAGGACTTACGTGATAAGAGCTTTTTAATGGCCAAATTAAGTGACTAACATCTGTCGTAATTTCAATTAATAACTTTCTTTAACGTCATAATGTATTTGGTCAAAGGAAATAATCAGGATAAGTAAGCTCTAACAATTAGTGAATTAAAATAAAAACGGAAAACTAAACATTATGTATATATATATATATATATAAGAAAAAACATTTGAGAATCAACTGTATATAAAACGAAGCTTAATATGAGAATCTTTGAAAAGCTATAACCTACCTGGACATGATAGTTTGAAAGAGACGATAAAAAGCTAAATATAGTGCAATATTAAACTTGAAATTACTTAATTGAACACAATGAAAAAAAAAATAATGAATCGCATGAAGTTACTTACTATTCCAAAATAAGTAATACTGAACAAAAAAAAAAGAAATAAGACTGAAATTTAAAATCGAAAGTAAAAGTACAAATTATTACAACTGCAAAAGAAAATTGTTCTTTATCTAAATAATTAAGGAAAAGCACAAGTCAAACATATGATGTTAAAACTGGTCGTCAAATGAACCTGAAATGATTGCAAATACAGAATTATATGCATTAAATTGTAGTGAGTGAACTGATTAAAGCCAGGAATGGATTAATTAAACGTTAAACAGAGTAGAGCACATGTGAATTTAGAGACTAAAATGAATCATAAGCATAAATTTCAAAGTAACAGTAAGTTAAATTCAGATTTACACGACTCAGAAAAGTGAATAGGATATTAGGTAAACTCGATATAATAGGTTTAAAGTGACCTAAAACAAATAGTCAATAAGAAAATAACGTTTCAGGTCAATTGGCCTGGTGGTTAGGGCACTCGATTTGCAATCTGCAGATCGCGAGAGAAAATCTTGTTGCCAAACATGTTCAATCTTTCAGCCTCAGGGGCGTTATAACGTGACAGTGAGTCCCACTTTTCGTTCGTAAAAAATTAGTCCAAGAGTTGGCGGTGGATGATTTGAATATCCGTCTTTTCTTTAGTCTGTTACTTCAAAGAATATGGACAGCTAGCTCTCGAGTAACTTTGCACGAAATTAAACAAAATAGGAACCCAATATCACCTATTTAACACCTTTGTGGAATTGTGATATTTTAGCACATGGATGTCCAACAGAAATGCCAAAGGTTCCTACAAAACAAGTTCGGAATATTAAACGAAGAATATCTTGAACAGGGGCAGTAAAGGAAAACAAATAAACACACGTGTAATATGAATCAAAAGATTTCGTTATCTAACATTAACAACACATTGTTATGCTACTTGAACTAACCGGGTTGCTTCTGGGTCGTCTGGATGCTGTGGTCAATAAGAACAAGAAACAGAACTATGGAAACACTTGACTAAAATACTTCAATTAAACAAAGAAATTCAGGTATTTCACAAGTTCATAGTCTACTCGCAGTCCAAGTCAAGCGAATACTTCTGTGTTACCAATTGAATAGACCACCTTACAATAAGTCTATACAGAAGCACGCACACGCTAGCTCGTGACTTCAAAACAAAAGGTTGCAGTATGTAGTCTACTTGTGTGAAAGGATTAGCATATGTTTACGACCTTGAAACACCCAGTCAACGAGAATGCCTTAACTGCAAGCATTTACCCCGTGATATTCCAGGCACAGTAATTTCTCTTTCGGATTAATCGTGTAGGAACCGCAGAATAACGGGAGGTTTCCACTGAAAATATATTATCGAGTGAACTTGAATTCTCAGACTTCGACTAAGTTTGAAGCAAGCAAAGATTTAGAAAGACACTGAACATAATATACGATACAATGAAACAATATTTAGCTCTCAAAAACAACAAATTGAATCAAAGATAAACAAGTATATTTTGTGTCACTTTTACTGGACAACTCTCTAGTGTATCTGAGTATATCATTACTCTTCCAAACTGAGAAAAACAAACAAACATTATATACATAAAACAATAACGCTTCTTATCAAGGTGCAAGCGTTACCCACGTGATTCTTGGCATTTCTTTAAGGAAGGTTGCATCTTGAGATACCAAGTTACCTGTCAGTAGAAAAGATCTTTACTTGTACATATAGCATATTGAATTTTGTATGGTTTTACAGGCTGTGTTCTATCATTGAATGCCCCTGTGTTTTTACCACCTAACAATAATTTTAGCATTTTTAAACTTATAATTGTTACTTCCTAAACGCAGACATGATTAATCACATTTGAAGTTATGTCCATAATTAAAATCAATTTAATAAATTGTTACTTAAAAAGATTTAGAAATGGAAAAAAAATCAATAAAGTGAACTGTGTTCTTTTCAATACTACTTTGTATAAATAAAACACTTCCATTTACAGAAAGTTAGGAAAAACGAAAGCCTTATTTCATTTGCATTTGTCTTTCTAATGATAATTTAACTTCAAATTAGGGTGATACTTCTATCAAACATTTGTTCAAAAATAAGAGAGCGCTTTTGGTCCTCTGATTTCTGAGATTAGTGTTCCGTTCATATTTTATACAAATGGCGCACTCTGTCATTAAGAGATATGAGTATCAAGATTTAGTAGAATGTTTTGCGAAGTTTGTAAAATTTTAATATTAAAATATGAAATATAATTTCTTTTGCTAGTTGACTCCATACTTACCTAAAAAATTCAAGTTTTTAAGGAAAAGTTGTAATCTACTTTTTGGCTATTATTGTAACAATTAGAGACGAAAAAATTAAAATCTAACCAAGTTATTGTAGAGTGCAATTTTAAATTGATGTGAATAATATTGTTCCGACAGCGGAAGTCACGTGATGCCGGTAACACGTAATGAGTTCTAGAAAGATCGGG